GGGGGGAGTGGAGAGGGATTAGATCCCCGTCAGGTTTTTATTGCTGTCTGTGTCCCCATTAGGGAGAATCACCCTATTTGTCCTGGTGAGTGTTATCATTGGGTTGTCATCACAACAGGAGTACTGTAGAGGGGAAATCTTCCACTAGGGACACTAGTTCTGCTAACCTAGGGGTTTCCCTATCTTTGGAGGGATTTCCTCTCACTTCCTGTTGTGTTTATCAGACAGGAAGCGAGCAGCAATCTCCCCAATGAGACATAAATGGCACAAAAAAAAAAAAAAGTTGACGGGTTATAACTCTCCTCCTACTCTATCCATGACTAAAGTTTTGGCTTCAGTTCTTACGTTTTTATCCCGTCTTCTGTTCTAACATGCCGTACTGAGATCTGATTTGGTTGTGAAGAGCACCGCCTCCATTATATGTTGCACTATAAAGACTTGAGTCTGTGCTCACAATACTCACAGAAATGATATTATCCTGCTATGATAACAGGACATTTGGGGATCCCACCAGCACAGCTGTCACTTGAAGCTAGTTATTGTGTGTAATAATAAAAGGCTATTTATACAATAAACTTTGATTGTTGAAGAGCATTTATCAATAAACACCCGGGATCGCTATTCATTAACATCTTGGCTGGAGATCACACTTTTTCCTTCATGGCTGCAATTCTGATATTAATCTGGGCTATGCAAGCTGGAGCAGCTCTACCTGGATACTGCCGAGTGTTGGGCGCACAACTGAGCCAGTATTACATCAAAAATCGGCATCCCCAGCATCCCTGTGAGTGTGGTTTGTCAGTTGCTCTTCTATCTCTAGTAACAATGTAGAGCTGCATCACAGAAGCTCGGAAGTGCAGCAATATTATATATAATCTTTACATACACGTCTATTATTATCGCTTTATGGCTCTATCTATATATGGGTAAACTTGTCATACATTTTAGATGGCAGAAAGTCAGAGGGTATTGGTAGGGATGCAATGTGTGCGCAGAACTGGTGCAATGCTTTGCATATAAAGAACAAGCAGGACATATCCTATAGTGATGTAGACAGACCAGGAAGGGACTGCTCACCAATCACTGGATGCCTTGTACACACTTCAATAGGGGATGCATTGTGTGTGTGTGTGTGTGTGTGTGATGTCCACTATCTCCAGGTCCGAGGTGTACTGGGGACATACGGCTCTGTACACACAGGCATCTAACCAAGCATTCATGAAGTGGTGTATGCAGTATGTGTGCCTAATGCATCTTCTGCCCTGCAGGCCCTCTCACCAATAATGGGTCGGATGGACAAGCAAAAACGTAGCCAAATTTTATTTATTTATTTTTACAGTATAGGTGTCTTTTGTTATTAAACCCTTAAAACATTCTTTATATATTGTTAATCTCACTTACTTGCTTAGATACGCTCAGTCATTTTCTTTCCAGGTCGTTCCACGCTACAGAGAATCTACTTGAAACACATTGCCCACTACACTTCCTGCTATGGGGTGGCTCTGCTCCCTTGAGGTACAAGTACGCTCCCCTTCAGGGACTACAGCCACAGAAGACGTTGCACAACTAAAGAGTTGGTGGGGATGCCTAATCTTGCAACGCAGAGACTCAGTCCCAACCTATATCTTTGCCCCCACAGCTCAAGTTTTGCTAGTGATGCCTATCTTTGCAATTCAGTCCCAGTCTAGGTCTTTTCTTGCACAGCTAAAGGGTTGCCAGGGATGCCTTACCTTGCAACTCAGACTCCGTCCCAGCCTATGTCTTTGCACGCACAGCAAAAGGGTTGCTGTGGGTACCTAATCTTGCAACTCAGAGACTCAGTCCCAGCCTATGTCTTTGCCGGGATGCCTATCCTTGCAACTCAGAGACTCAGTCCCAGCCTATGTCTTTGCATGCACAGCAAAAGGGTTGCTGTGGGTACCTAATCTTGCAACTCAGAGACTCAGTCCCAACCTATATCTTTGCCCCCACAGCTAAAGAGGTGGCGGGGAGGCCTAATCTTACAACTCAAGAGATTCAGTCCCAGCCTTTGTGTTTGCCCGCAGAGCTCAAGTTTTGCTGGGGATGCCCATCCTTGCAATTAAGTCCCAGCCTATGTCTTTGCCTGCACAGCTAAAGAGTGGGTGGAGATGCCTACTCAGTCCCAGCCTATGCCTGCACAGCTAAAGGGTTGCTGTGGGGATGCCCAATCTTGCAAATCAGAGACTCTGTCCCAGCCTATGTCTTTGCCTGCACAGCTAAAAGGTTGCTTTGGCTGCCTAATCTTGCAAATCAGACTCTGTCCCAGCCTATGTCTTTGCCTGCACAGCTAAAAGGTTGCTTTGGCTGCCTAATCTTGCAACTCAAAGACTCAGTCCCTGACCTGTGCTGCATTCTCAGGAAGGTTTACATATGCTTTAAGGCAGGGGTAGCCAAACTCCAGCCCTCCAGCTGTGGTGAAACTACAAATCCCATGATGCATCCCTCTCCGGGAGTCATGTCTGTGAGAATCTTGCGATGCCTCATGGGATTTGTAAATCCACCACAGCTGGAGGGCTGGAGTTTGGCTACCCCTGCTTTAAAAGGAGAACTATGGGGTCAGTGTTTTTCCCCATAGTTCTCCTTAGGGTAACGGGAGGACACCAACTAGCGTCCTCCCGTTACCCTTAGCTCAGTATACCGCGAGCTACAGCTCGCGGTATACTGAGACGCCGCAGCGGATCCCGACTTAGATGACGGGATCCGCCCAGCTGTGTGTGTGACAGCTGGCTCTGCCTATCTAGAGGCAGAGCCAGCTGTACCCACCCCTCCCCCGTCCGTTCTGCCAGTCAGCGCTGGCGGATGGGAGCGGGGAGGGGGGAATCCAGCCCCTCCCCTGTCACGGCAGAGAGCCGGGACAGGATCGAGAGGTGAGTGAACGCCGGTATGTGTTCGCTCACCTCCCGATCTACTGAGCCGACCTGTGACAGTCTCATTGTCACACGTCGGCTAGAACTATGAGATGAGTGAAAATCACTCATCTCATAGTTCTCCTTTAAGGCCACGTTCACACTTTTGCACACGTGGGATAAGCACTAATCATTCTGAAAGGTCCACCGACATACACAGACACTCCCAGGTGTAACCCGATCCTTCCATATCAATGACACGACATTTATAAACTTGGATTTATTTTGATGGAAAATGTACATAAAACTAAAAGAGAATGATCGCTGCCAGTAGAAATGGAAATGACTTTGGCCCTGAGCGACCCGGATTCCTCCAGCTGCTGAAGGATTGCACAGCTTGTCTGCCATGATGGGACTTGTGGTTCCCCCGGCAGCAGGAAAGAAGCAGAACGCCCATGTTGTCAGGATTCAAAGCAATGACTGATGTCAGAGTTTCTCAAATGGAAACAAATGCTTCTCTTCCCCCTTCTTCTCCCTCCTGTTCTTTCGTTTAGCTTTCCCTTCCTGTAGATCCTCGGCCTGGCGGTTTTGAGGCCAGGAGACAGCGGTGTCCTGAGCTGGGGTCTCCGTTGCTGGTTTTTCCTCTTCGTCGGATGAGAATCCAACTTGCCCTAATGCTGCGTGTAGATGATCGTCGTCCTGGCATAAGACAAAGACTTCAGCGATGGGCGGAATTAAGGAGGTAACTGCACTGCTGATTAAAGGGTAGAGAGAGATGGGAAAGCCTCCAATGGGGACCCTGAGGATTTCACCTCACTTCCTGTTGTTGTGATCAGACAGGAAGTGAAGGGAAGAGTCTTCCCAGTCTGAAAATTCTAGGCCGAACAGTAGCCACAGGGAAGACTCTTCCCCAATGAGGCGATGGGCCAGTCTGAAAATTCTAGGCTGGACAGTAGCCGCAGTCAGAATACAGTAGCCCAGCGGGGGAATCCCCTATACACTGTGAGTGTACAGCCGGCTTAAAGTTAATTTCCACCTTTGCGGAGGTAATGATAAAAAAAAGCATGCCAGCAATGTACACCGAATGCACATGCAGCTGCTATGTATATTACATATATTATATATTATTACATAGTATATTCATTAGTATTACAAAGCAGGCTGTAAACAGTGCAGAGCTTGCATTTAATGATTGTTACACAGTATCACAGGGAGGGGGGCAGCTTTACAATCTGACCCCGGTGTCACACTGAGGTTCCTGTGGAGAAAACTTTGAATTTGTAGGATTCAGGCCTAATAAAAAAAAAAAATGAAGAAAGCCAGCAATGCGAGTCATGAAAATGTGCGCACATCATCACTGCCGCAATAAATGCTAAATCACCTACAAAAGGTGGAAAGGGGCTTTAAACCTACTGGAAACGTAGCATCTGACTCATTTCCTGCTCACCTTTGGGATGATCCCACTCCTCCATAATGGAAAATAAATGAGAGATCTGATAGGGGGAGAGGGGGCATAGATCTTCCTCATGGCACACACGCCGTCACTCACCGTCTTCCCATAGCGCGCTTTTAATCTCTCGCGGATCAGCAGCCCCTTGATCAGCAGCTTCCAGTTCCCCCAAACTCGCGTTTCCCGCTTCTGCGGCACAAGAAGAGATGAAGTCATTATTGGGCCAACGTAGCTCCGGGAACATGGCGCTCGTTGTGGTTCAGCTGCAGACTAGTGGGAGATGACAATCCATACTGTCCCCGCATGGAGATGGCACCGAGCTGCGACTTACCTCCTTCTGCTTGCGCTCGATCTCAACCTGTTCATTCTCCCAGGCGCCCAGCAGGATGTCCTTGTGCTCCTCGCACACTATGTACCCGTCTGTTCTGCAGGGACACACAGCAGGAAAAGACATTAAGGTGACCCCAAACACAACGATTCTGATTGCACAATCCAGCTGACCATAGTTAGTAAGAAATCCCTCCAATTACATTCAAATGGTCATTAATCACACTGGGAGCTTCTCACAATGTTCATTAGAAGCTGCAGCAAGTCAGAGAGCCCACCTCATTTCCTGGCTGGAGGACATCCAGTATCATCTAGCACTTTCCTCTCCAGCCTGACTGACCCTGATCCACCCCTTTCATTCATTGGATTTCAGTAGTAGAGGCTCAGCTTCCCATGTGCATGAAAATGCAGTCTTCCCAAGACTCCCAATCCTCCAGACTGACACCCACCCAGCGAGGCATTTTGATATTTGTATAACACCCCCCCCAAGAGCTCTCCTACTGCTTGCATCAATGCAGAGAACTCTTGAGAGCAGTACTGAGGCAAGGTGTTGTGATGTTTTCAGGAAGCTACGTACAGCACCCTCCCACCCGCCAGCAGCCATGATCTGCTTGCACTGTATAGAGAAGCACAGAAACCCTGTGTGATGACATCATTCATAATCACAGGCCTTATAGAAAGTGTGAGTTGCCCACTGCAGCCACATTTCGGCGGCCATGCTGCATCCCGGGCCTGCTGGCTGTGCACAGAGCCGAGCCTCGGCCTCCCGCGTGGGGTGTGATCGCTACGTACGCTGCAGGAATTCAGGTACAAACCCCAGCTGCAATGACAGGGGTCCCTTCAGCCTTACACAGGGTGCGAGTAGCCACCGTGGAAGTCAAATCCGGTGATGGCTTGGACGCAGTCGATGTCCAGCTTCCTGCCCACGCGGTGCAGGTTAGGCAGTTGCAGGTGGACGCAGCCGATCGGCAACATGCAAGGCTTGAACAGGTAAACGTTTCCAAACTCGTTGCGGGGAACCTGCGGAATAAAACGGAGAGCATTGCAGGGAAGGTGGGCGAGAGTCTCTTCCAGCGGGGAGCAGAGGGGGGGGACACAGGACAGAGCGGCTCACCTTCCCGTCCACAGCGACAGGCGGCTGATAATCCTCCGTCTGCCACGGGCCAAACAGAGGAAGGTCATTGCTGTCCCTCTTCTCCGGATCCACCATACGGGCTTTTCTCGCTCGGTTGGAGTGTCCTTTCACCATCTGTGCAGCACAGACACCGAGAGAAATGCTGACATGAGGAAATAAAAACTTTGCTCACACCAAGTGGACCGAATCTATCAATGGAAGTTATAGCTGAACTCTGCCGGACACACACACACACACACACACACACACACGTGTAAGGCCCCGTTCACACCTGAGCGTTTTAGTGCGCGTTCCTACGCTCGGTAAAACACGCAACAGGTGAAAACCCATGTTTGCCTATGGGCATGGTTCTCACCTGCGCGTTTTACCGCCCGTTCGATCGCGTGGTAAAACGCCATACGCCCAAAGAAGTACATGAGCTTCTTTGGGGCGTATTAACGCCCGTATCCCGCTGTTATCAGCCGGATACCCCCTTGGAAACTGGCGTTTCTTTTACCGCAAATCGCGGTGAAACGCGCGGCAAACGCGAGTTTCCAATCTGCTAAGGTGTGAACCCGGCGTTATACATATAAAAGGAGCTGTTATACCTGCCAACGAATTTGCATATCCGTCCATCCAGTCCTCCTCCCTGTCTAGGATGGGTACTTGACTGTCATAACACCTGCTAGCTCCAATCATGCAAATACAATCAACACCTTACCTCCATGAGGTCTCTGACCACACCCTGATTATGATAAACGGATTATGTGGATCGGAGCAACATTCGCCATATTTATTCCCAAAGAATTTTTGTACAAGTCATTCTGAACTGAGACAGCTAGTCGGATGACCAGCGAAAAGTCTTCAAGAAAAATACAGCAAGTCCAGTTGCCTTCATTTATTTACAGATATACCATGTGACCTGGATGAATGAGAACCTTCACAGACATATCTGAATAGAATTACAGATATCTGGACAGGGAAAACAAATCCTACTTTCCTCTGTGTATTCAGCTGGTGTACCACCTAAGCCAGCACACCAGAGATGTTGTATTACCTTGTAAGGCACCTCTCCCAGCCGCACCACGCGGGCCTGCTTCAGCCAGGTGTCTTTGGAGTGCAGGGTTTGAACACATGACCTGCAGGATAGAACACAATCAACCTTTAACCTATACAAGACTCACACGGCGATCGAATACGGGTAACGCAATGTACGCATGTCATATTACTGCTTCCAGGAATGAGGAAAATACGCTATATGGCCAAAAGGATGTGGACACCTCTTCAAAGGATGGCGTTCAGGTGTCTCCAGTGGAGGGTACTGTTAAAAAGAGAACTATGAGGCGAGTGATTTTCACCCATCCTCATAGTTCGAGCCGACGTGTGACAATGAGACTGTCACAGGTCGGCTCAATAGATCGGGAAGTGAGCGAACACATATCGTCGCTCGCTCACTTCTCGATCTATCCCTGCAGAGAGCCGTGACTGTCTTTTACGGTTCCCTGCAGGTATTCCCCCCCTCCCCGTTCCGATCCGCCAGCGCTGACTGGCGGAACGGACGGGGGAGGGGGCAGGCACAGCTGGCTCTGCCTCTGGATAGGCAGAGCCAGCTGTCACTGACGCAGCTGGGTGGATCTCGACAGTAATCGGGATCGATTACCGAGTAGTCGGGATCCGTCCCTGCTGCGGCGGTCTCAGTATACCGCGAGCTGTAGCTTGCGATATACTGAGCTTTGGGTCACGGGAGGACGCTTACCTCATAGTTCTCCTTTAATACTACAACATTCAGAGGCATTTTAGAGAATAGTGCTCTTCCAGCCTTGTGGTAACAGTTTGAAGATCCTTTTCTGTTCCACCAGGACTGAGCCAGCTCCATAAAAGACATGATTTGACCAGCTTGGTGTGGAGTAACTCGAGAGTCCTGACCTCCACCCTACTGAACACCTTTGGGGTGAATTGGAACGCCAATTGCATGTCAGGTCTTCTCATCCAATAGCAGTAGCTGACCTCAAAAATGCTCTTTTGACTGGATGGGCCCAAAGCCAACAGACACCCAAAATCTAGTGGAAGGTATTTCCAGAACTTCGGAGGCTGTTGAAGCCTCTAAGGGGCAGCTCCAAATTAATCATGGAATGAGATGGCCTACAAGCTCATATAGGAGTGATGGTCTGGTGTCCAGAAGAAGATTTTGTGCCTCTCTGCACAAAGCCAGATCCTTAAAGACATGGTAGTGTCCTGCACAGAGCCCTGACCTCAACCCTACTGGACACCATTGGGATGAAGGGAAACACCGACTATAAGCCAGGTCTTCCCATCCAACATCAGTACATGACCTCAACCCTACTGATCACCATTGGGTTGAATGGAAACACCGACTATAAGCCAGGTCTTCCCATCCAACAACAGTATCTGACCTCAACCCTACTGATCACCATTGGGTTAAATGGAAACACTGACTATAAGCCAGGTCTTCCCATCCAACATCAGTACATGACCTCAACCCTACTGGACACCATTGGGATGAATGGAAACACGGACTATAAGCCAGGTCTTCTCATCCAACATCAGTATCTGACCTCAACCCTACTGATCACCATTGGGATGAAGGGAAACACCGACTATAAGCCAGGTCTTCCCATCCAACAACAGTATCTGACCTCAACCCTACTGATCACCATTGGGATGAAGGGAAACACAGACTATAAGCCAGGTCTTCTCATCCAACATCAGTACCTGACCTCACAAATACTATTTTGGCTACAAATTCCCACAGACATTCCAAAATCTAGTGGAAAGTCTTCCCAAAACAGTGGTGGCTGTTATAGCCCGCCCCCAAGGGTTGGGGGGAGAGGGGGCATGGTAACTCCATATTAACGTTTATAGTTTTGGAATAGGATGTACAACAAGCTTATATACTGCAAGTGTGATGGTTTTGCTTCGTCAAGCTTTTGGCCATAAACTGCATCTTTTTTCCTATCAGTTCTTAGCTTTGGTCCAGAAGACCCAAGTTTAAGTCCTCTTCACAAACCAGCAGAGCTGAAGAAAAGATGTCCATCCTCCTGGGATACTAGCAAAAAACAGAGGCAAGCTAGGCAAAGGAGGGGTTATATATAACACATTTTCTGTTTGCCACTGTCCTAAATCTCCTGTAGGCAGCAGTATAACCTGACTTTCTGAATTCCTGTGTCCCTCGATGAACTCCAGCAAATGGATTGTACGGCAAGTACAAAAATCTAATTTTTCCAATTAAAAAAAATCTGTATATTAAGCCAAAGCATTTCAGGAGCAAAAAAGTGCCCCGTCCATCAGGGCTTGATATACAAGTAGAATATCAAGAAACTGCCTCCTAATGTTGGCGATATATCTCAATGAAAAGGAAAATGCAAGTTTCTGATTGGTTACTATGGATCAGCTGTCGTATTCTTTACCTGGAATAGACGGCTTCCCCTCTGCAGTAGCCCAGGATGGAGGCAGATTCTGGGTAGATAGCCTCGTATTTCAGCAGATGTCTCTTCAAGGCATACAATGGGTGATTCTTAAATTCTGTGATTGAGGTTGGCAGTGGCTGTTCGAGTAATTTAGATTCGAACTGCAGGTACAAGATTTATTAAGTCATTATCGGAATTCAGACATGGTCTAATGAAGGGGTAGGGCAACCTTGGCACTCCGGCTGTGCTGAAACTACAAATTCCATCATGCCTGTGTCTCTGGAAGTCATGCCTGTGGCTGTAAAGTTCTTGCAATGCCTCATGGGACTTGTAGTTCCAAAACAGCTGGAGTGCCGAGGTTGCATACCCCCGGTCTAATGTTACTGGCATTCGGTACTCCATTTTCAAACAAATTTCAGATACAGTTTTAATGTCTTGAATCATTAGTCCAACCTTTGGTAAAATAAAGAAAAAATGAAGCTCTCGCTGCTATACTTTATTTATGAAAGAATTATAAAAGAAAAACAAAAAACGGGGAGTATAGCCCCCCAGCAGCACACGCTCACCTTTCCTTCGGTACCCCACTGATCTCTTCAGTGAAGGATACAGCCAGTACGCCCCGTATGGAGGAGCGATTAAACTCACCCCATGTGACAGCACTAGGCCAATCGGCATAGTCCATAGGCTTGTATAACCATGGACTCCAGCGACTCGTTCACCTACACAGTATTATCTTTTCACTCCCAGAGGCTGAATGGAGCAGCAGGGAAGTGAAGGGAAGGTAATTAAAGCTCATGGGAAGTCTGCCATTTACAAGTCTCTATAACAAACAAGTCCCATTTACAATGTAAATTGCTGGCAATTACCTTAAAAATGGATTTTATTAAGCAGTCACATGATCGCAAGAGCTCCCTTGAGATCCCTCTTATTGCAGTCCCCGTTGCCAAGTTAAGCTAAGCAGGGCCGGGCAAGAGCTCCTTTCAGATCCTTTTATTGCATGGTGGGGGTGTGGCTAGAAAGGAGGGATTTGGCCTGTGCCTGCTGTCAATCAAGCTAAGTCAGGTCGGGCAAGAGCTCCGTTCAGATCCCTCTATTGCATGGTGGGGATGTGGCTAGAAAGGAGGCATTCGGCCAGTAGAAGCACACTGTGCATGGGTATGGCACCCTATAAATCTAATAAGAAGTTAGATGTATGCACACTGAGCATGCTAACCTGCTTTCATGCTTAACATGGTCAGAAAGCTACAGGATGTCATAGGGACTGGTGGGATCGCTAGGCATTTAGTGCAGACTGAATTTAATATATAAATAAATGGAACCAGTAAGAGAGGCAGAGCAATGCAGTCCCAACGTTTGACATTTAAGGCTAACATGCCATTTAAATACATCCGTGGAGACTTGCATTAAAGTGAACCTGTCCTGTACGGGCAAAGCACAGATTCACTTTAAGCTTCAGCAAGGTAAAATGCACTCACACATGTTTATCTCAAGTCACTCCCGTCTCCTGCGGTCATTATGGACATTCTACTACAATGGCTGGAAGGAATACAAAGTCAGGTTCTCACCTCTGCTTCTTCTCGATCTTCACATGTCATGTCGGGGTTTCTAAAAGGCCTCAGCGTCTCTTCCCACCACTCCGGATCGACGCGTTGTTTGCGGGTCCTGGTCATCCACTCCCGATCGTATCTACGCGTCACGTCGTTAACGTGGCCCGAGTTGTCGATCCCCACCACGTACATGAAGGGCTTGGTGGCAGCCTTGAAGCACATGGATGGCTTGTTGACCGTCCCGTGGGTGCAGTCTACGCAGACCCACTTCTCCTCCTTCTGCAGGTAGACTTCCACCCACTGATCGCTGCCTCTGGGGGATGGTGGTATCTCCTCAATTTCATCATCTGTTGATATGATCTTGCCTCTTCCTGTTGGCTGGGTGCTGCTGGGTTTTTTGGGGGAGCTCTTCGCTTTGGGCTGCCCTGGGCTCTTTGATGGCAACTCTCCAAAGTCCGCCAAAAGACTCATAGGTTTCTTTGCTTTTCTTTCAACGGACCCTTCCCATTCGGAGAACTCGCTGTCCTCCTCGCTGCTGTCGGCGCAGGAGAATTCGGAGCCGCTGCTGTCCGCCTCGCTTTCACTTTCGTCCTTGTATGAAACTTTAGAGGCCGCTTTTCTCCGAAGCTGGTTTTTGGGGCGGCTTCTCGGCTTGGCCTCCTTGTCACTCTCTGCTTGGGCCCTCTTGGCCTTTTTCTTTGTTTTTTTGGCTTCTTTTCCAGATTTTTCGTCTTCATCGTCTTCCCCAAAAACTTCCTCTTCCTGCTTCAGCTTTTTCTTTTTTTTGGACCTTGGTTTTGATTTAGCGTTAGAAGGTCTCCGGCGTTTGGATGATTTATTTGCCGTTTTGGAGGCTGACCTCTCTGTAGACTTGCGTTTCATCTGGAGATGAGCAAACATTCACGTTTAAACGCTAAGCATTTAATAAACCTAGATCGGCAAGTAATTATTACATTAATGATCATGTCCAGAAAGCCCCTCCACTTCCCCCAATATACCATTTAACTAATCACTAGGTTCAATTGAAAAAGCATAAAATCTAAAATCAATCAATATTTTCCTGAGACATATTGAGCTTGTCGAGTGTCTTCAATTTTATGGTCTGAAGAGTGGTAGGGTCCTTTTTCAAGTGCCCATGCACACTTCCCATTGACTGTCCAATGCTGGGGTCTTCACGGGCTCCAGAGGCGTGATGCCGTCACAACCTTTGTTTGGCAACAAGTCCAGTTGGTGGTGGGCCTAGACTGCAGTGGTGCATCACTGGTCTCCACTCCTAGTAGAGGTGCTGCAGAGGGTCATGTGACGGCAAACTCTAGTGAGCAAAAAGGGTTTTGGCAAAAAATGGGATATATAGATATTGGCGTAGTGGTTACCACTTCTGTCTTGCGGCACAGGGGGTCCCCGATTTAAATCCCGGCCAGGTTGCTATCTGCAAGGAGTTTGCATGTTCTCCCTGTGCTTGCGTGGGTTTCCTCTGGGTACTCCAGTTTCCTCCCACACTCCAAAGACATGCTGAAGGTTAATTGGCTCCTGTATAAAATTGTCCCAGTATTTATGCATGCGAAATAGGGACTCCAGGAGGGCAGGGACCGATGTGAATGAACACTATCTAATACATGTAGTCAAGAACCAGCTGCTCTCCTTACCGGAATAGTAGTAAACCTGCCAAGCAGGTGGGTGCTTGTAGTGACCACGGACGGCCCCTTGAACAATGCAGATCTAGTAAGGATTGTCACCAGCACACCAAAAGTTTTGAAGCAAAAAGTCCTTTATTGACAAATCGCCATCCAATACAAGCGCTTTTGGGGTCTCAGCAGTACCCCTTCATCAGGCTCAGAACGTTTGGTGTGCTGGTGACAATCCTTACTAGATGAACACTATGTAAGGCGCTGCGTAAATTGTTGGCGCTTAAGAAATAAATATTTCCACTAGGGATGCACCAATACCGTTTTTTTTCGGTACTCGCCGGTACCAAAAGTCCCATTACGGAAGCCGTGCAGCGTGTAATGACTCGCCGCCCGGCTTCCTGATTAGCCGGGAGGCGTGTAATGAAGAAGGAGCATGGAACCGGCTTCTTGGCCAATCAGGAAGCCGAGTCATTACCCGCCCCGGCTTCCGGATTGGCCAGGAAGCCAGCTCCATGCTCCCTGGTGATGAGGGAACAAGGAGCCAGCTTCCTGATACCAGAGGTTCCAGTATCGGAAAAGGCATCGAGAGTATTTGGGCGAGTACGAGCACTCGCCCAAATACTCAGTATCGGTATCAGTGCATCCCTAATTTCCACCATACTGTTTTACGGCATGATACCATGGGTTAGGGGACTTCTTGGAGAGAGAGAAGGACTGACAGCGGGGAGAACTCCTCCAACACCAATTCTCTGTGCACACTGGTGGATGTATATGTAGAGAAAGTAATGTCAAAGCAGCGCACAGTAACATTTTAATCACCAATATACGACCCCCAGCGGCGTATTTAACTTTGCTGCTGCCTGGCAACGCCGCCCTCAGCGAATCTGCCGCTCCAGGCAAACGCCTTGTTTGCCTCGCGGCAGATACGCCCCTGACGACCCCTCTCGGGTCCCTGTGTTTTGTTTCTAAGCCCTTTCCTACTCTATCCAAATCTAGAAAAAAAAAAATGGATTGACTTAACTTTGACATAACTCAAGTTCAATGGAAGTTTCTCTTGCTTGGCACCAGTTATCTATGACGGCCATTCTTTTATGCTGCAATATTTTGTCCCACCGTGGACTGAGCAATCAAGTCAGCAAATTAGAACCATTCAAAAATATGGGCAATACAGAGCCAACCTTACCTTAGCAGGCAGCTCCTTCAGAGGGATGGGCTGCAGCGACAACACCAACCGGCTCAGAAGTTGCAGAGCTCGCAGGAGAATCAGGAAAAGCTGCAGAGAAACCAGAAAGCACAATCAGATGTGTTCGGGGGAAAACTGACATCACATTTTAACTGTATGTCGATATTTTTTATTGTGTTGCAAAGCACGATAAGGGTCAGTGTGCACAGGCATTTGTACATGGCAAGGCCCTACAAAAATTCTTGTGCTTTCAATTGAAAAAAAAATTAAAGTTGCGCTGATAACCAATATAGAGTATATTCAAGTCAACACGCATGTAGAACCCCCAGGCTCTGATAAAACCCGAATGTCATATTCAACAGCATTTACCATCGTTGTGCTCTTCACTGCATATCAGTGTGCTTCACTTGAGGTGTGCAGAGTCCAGGGAAATCATGGTGGCATGAAGCAGTAACACAGACATAAGAGAACACAGTTCATTACTGTTCAAGGGTCAGTTCACCCAAAAGTGATTCCCAGTTTCCGGTGAAGAAATCTGGTGACGGATGTCTGGTGATGCGTCACCCAAGTACCCTGGTCTGCACACCTATCATGGTCAAGGTAAGGGGGTACCACACTCATTGTGGAGAGATATATTAGGTGGGAAGGAACACCCAATAAATCCTCCACAGGTACTATGTGAGGGGGGGACCTTGCTGCATAAAACAGCCTGTGCCATTCAGGCCAAAGCAACTTTCAATGCCTCCTACCCAGCAGCATATAATAAACTTGTCTTTGCTGCCCTGTCATTCCTTTTACCCACCAGGAGTTAAAGGAGAACTATGGGGTTAAGGCTTTTCCCCATAGTTCTCCTTAGGGTAACGGGAGGACACAAACTAGCGTTCTCCCGTCACCCTAGGCTCAGTGAGACGCCGCAGCTGAAGCGGATCCGAACAATTATGTCTGGATCCACCCAGCTGCGTGAGTGACAGCTGGCTCTGCCTATCTAGAGGCAGAGCCAGCTGTACCCGTCCCCTCCCCCGTCCGTTCCGCCAGTCAGCGCTGGCGGATCGGAGAATCCAGCCCCTCCCCTGTCACAGCAGAGAGCCGTGACAAGATCGAGAGGTAAGCGAACGCACCCGATCTACTGAGCAGACCTGTGACAGTCTCATTGTCACAGGTCGGCTAGAACTATGGAGGTGAGTGAAAAGCACCCACCTCATAGTTCTCCTTTAAGAAAATACTTGGGGGGTATGAAGCAGCATGTGACTCACCCCATGTGACAGTGCTGGGCCAAATCACCAAGTGCAAAGACTCTCCTAGCTCCTGGTGGCTGAACTGATCAGTGAGGGGTTAAAGGAACTGTGATTATAAGCTGCTGGGGAGGGGAGCACATAAAATTGAACCGGTTGGTGTGCCCTGCATGGGAGAAGCACAGATTCACCTTACGTCCCCAAAAGGACAGCAAGTAAGTCAACCAAGAACACACCAACTATAAATGGAATGTCACTCAACCCTTTAATAGTCCCCAATAGGTCCTTACATGAACCATTTCCTCTCCATCTCTGACGCCGTACACCCCAAATCTTCGCTCCAAGGTACCAGACAAAGGTTCCTGCTCATCCAATGACATTTCTGGATTCAGGGTGAAAGTTGATACGAACCTGCAAATAAATCAGATATTTCATGTGAGTCAGGATGGTGCATGTGCAGAATGTGAGCAGAGCAGGAGGGAGCCTCCTTTTCTGTAGGACAAGACGACGCAAGAAAAAGGTTGGAGATCCCTTTAAATAAAAGATGGACGCACCACTTCACCAGTGCGGTCAGATACACTACATCCACTCGGGGAGCTGGAACGTTGACAAACTTAGCGGGAACCACAGATAGCGCCACAGCCTGGAGATCGAGTGAGTTGCAGGTGTTGCTACGGTAAATGCCATTGGCCAGGAGGCAGAGGAGGTGGACCTGGAGGAAGGACAAATGTCAGAGATGAGCTCATAGCATGGAAAAGCCCATCATGTAAAAACCCTTCTGCAGTCAGAGGAATTCCATGTTATAATAGGTTCCTGCACAATACTAAGGAGTTAACAGTTCCAGAGCCATCAACATTGGGAATCTCTGTGAACGTTCAATCTGTGCAAATGGAGGCAGAAAAAATAGGATTTTTGTACTCACCGTAAAATCCTTTTCTCTGCGTTCATTGAAGGACACAGGGAACAGATGGGAGATCATGTACTTTAGGGTATATCGCCACCTGCAGGAGAATGATGCTAGGCAAAAAACACTACGGTGAGTACAAAAATCCTATTTTCTCTCCAGTTCATTGAAGGACACAGGGAACAGATCGGAGATCATGTACCGTAGGGTATATCACCACCTGCAGGAGAAGGACGGTACATGATCTCCGATCTGTTCCCTGTGTCCTTCAATGAACTGGAGAGAAAATAGGATTTTTGTACTCACCGTAGTGTTTTTTGCCTAGCATCATTCTCCTGCAGGTGGCGATATACCCTAAAGTACATGATCTCCCATCTGTTCCCTGTGTCCTTCAGTGAATGGGAGAGAAACAAAATGTTCTTAGTACATTTCCTTTTCAGGTCGAACGTAATGTAATACCGCTCTATGGCCACTAAACGGAGCACAGGAAACGAGTATTGATTTCCTATGCTCCGCAGCGCCATCTAGTGGCCATAATGAGGTATCTACACAATGTTACACTTGGCCTGAAGAGAAAATTGACCAAGAACGTCCGCTTTTGCCTCCATTCACACAGGACGAACGTTCACGGAGATTCCCATGGCGCATGGCTCTGTGAACTGATTATAAGTAGGTCCCATAGTGTAAGTGACTGACTTTATAATGAAGCTGTGAGGAGACATAAGATGAATTACACACCAGGGGCCTTCATTATTATAATTATCTGCAGTCTTGAACCTTTCAAGTTCCCAGTATAGTGAGAAGCGCTATTTAGCAGTCAAATACTGTTTTGATTAGGGATGCACAGATACTAGTGTCGGTGCCGATACCGAGTACTTGTACTCACCCAAATGCTCCGATACTTTCCCCGATCCTACAACTTCAGGTCAGAGGAAGATTTCAGTGCCATAGGGGAACATGGAGCCATCTTCCCATGCAATCAGGAAGCCGGGCGGCGAGTAATGGCCGCCTCCTGGTTTCCCAATTGGCTGGGAAGCCGGCTTCCTGGCCAGTCAGCATCGAGCCAGCTTCCCGGTCAATCAGGTCATGGCTTCCTGATTGGCCGGGAAGCCGGCTCAATGCTGATTGGCAGGGAAGCTGGTTTCCCGGCCAATCACAATCAAGCAGGCCAAACAACATGGAGCTGGCTTCCCTGGCAATCAGGAAGCCGGGCGGCACGTCATTAACCGCTTCCCGGCTTCATGATTATCCGGGTACCCGGCTCCATGCCAGCGGAAGCACCGGTATCGGCGAGTACTGAAAGCAAAATATCCATACTAGGACTCGATACTGAAAATCCGGTATTGGTGCATCCCTAGTTTTTTGATTAAAACTATTTTTTTGTATTGAGACAAGTAGATTGGGCCCCCGCTTTAGCCCTTGGACAAGCTACGTTTATTACTAGCATAGTGGGGAGGCCCGCTGCGCATCTTGCGTATCCTGTCAGCAGCGTGGCGTGACACACAGCGACAGCAATCTTAAGCCCATTGGTCGCCAGAGACAGACGAGACACCTGGAGGCAAGTATTGTTACGTAGAAATAAGTGTCTAGTTTAAAATTGTTAACATAAATTGCAAGTCTGTAGTCCGGTCATGCCGAATGGCGAAATTTTTGACTTACCGGTGAGACACCCTAAAATTTTTCAAGCCCTGGTAATAATATTAGGGATGCACCGATATATCGGCCGCCGAAACATATCGGCCGAAAATTGCACTTTTGGCTAAATGCCGAAAGTGCCATTTTCCTGCCGATACGTCGGCGCATCCCAGATTTCTTTCCTCCCCGCTGGGCACTGCTCTGTGTCCCAGCGGGGGGGGGACGACGACGACACAAAGTGACAGCCGGCCGAGCGCTGCGGGAGGAGAGCGCTGTGAGCGGCCGGTGTCTCTCCTCCCACACCGCTCTGCCGCCTATCACAGTCCGGCGTGTGGGCGGAGACAGCCCGCACTGTCACAGGAGACTGAGCTCTCCTCCCCGCACCGCTCGCTCAGCCTCCTGTGACAGCGTTTCAGAGAAGAGAGTGAGAGCAAACACTCAGTGATCGGTGATTGCCGAGTGTTTGTAGATAATTGAGGACAGAGTATGGTTATTGTATACTCAATTTTGAATGAATGGGAAGTGATCTACATCACCTCAACATCCCCCTCCTGTTCATTCATAGTTGTAGTTATAGTAAACATACTCTGCCCTCATGTTATCAATGAACAGGAACACTCAGAGAATTCCTTTTCATCGATAACAGAGGATGCAGAAAAAGAGATTGAGGACTCTGTGACCCCAATCTCTTTTTCTATTTTCCCCAAAGCCCCAAAAAGTAAAGTAAAAAATATTTAATAAAAAAGTAATAAATTTTAAAAAATAAAACATTTCTAAAGAATAAAATATTAAAACATTTGAAAAAATTAAAATACAAAACATTTTGGTTTCGGCCTGACTTTTTTTTATTTCGGTTTCGTTTCTCAAATTTCTATTTCGTTGCAACTCGAAATATAAAAACATCCACCTTGCAGGCGAGTTCTGCTCTCCTTGACCACGTAATAATCCTCTACCCCCCCCTTCCTTCTCTCTTCCCCTCGTCCTTGTGTCCCTCTGTTGTCTGATTGTCTTGTCGTGTTATGTTGTTTTATAAGGTGGCTCTAGGTGAGATGACTTACCGGCAGACTTGGGGAGCAGGGTCTTCACACGATATCTTGATTTAGCCTGTAGCTGACAACCCAGGTCCTCGCCTGCCTCAATCGCATTGACCCTCCTCAGGGGGGGGGCATTAAAGTTCGGAGTCCCCCATATCAGGGACGGGAACTTGGGCAGAGGCAAGGCTCGAATCTGGGCACGATATGATATACCGTGCTGTTACCCCTGAGAATGTACACCTGATGCTGCCTTTGTATGTTGTTTTCATTTCTTGTTTGTGAAAACTAATAAACAATATATTTCTGTTTAAAAAAAAACATCCACCTTGCAAGACATGACACTTATGTTTTGTTTGTTTTTTTACACTGCCCTGACATGAAAGGGGATGAAGAGGACATCCGATCTGCACAAAGATCCTTTACATATATGGAATATCTCGGTAGACTGGCAGCAGCCATTTCTTCCTGGTGGTTGAGTCCAAGATTGAGACCAATCAATGAGACTGAAGTCTGCTCCAACCAACCCCTCCATTCTCCCACCTTGTGGGTGTCTTCGCGGAGCTCCTTGGTGAAGCGGTTCATCATTCTGCGCAGATAAGCTGCAAACTCCGCCTTCTTCTTCTCCCTGTAGATCATTAAGAATGGACGTCAGCTTCTCCCGCACTTGCAAAGCCATCCTGGCATTTTGCATACTGTCTTGTTTCACCCCCAGACCAATGAAAGCATTTTTTTTTTACTACAAACTGGTTACCAGGAACCAAATTACCGGTTCTTAGGATGTGGTGGCTGCATTCGTTTTTTTAATTTCAGCTTAAGAACAATTTCAGCAAGTACCAGCAAGTAGCCAATAAGTTCTTAACCTCCCCATGATCTAGATGTGCTAGGGATCTGAAATTTTGCCAGTTTATATGCGGATATCTTAGTAATATGCATGCCAATTTTTGTAGGTCGTGGTGAATTATGGTTCGAGCCAAGAGAAATGGAAGAGGTGTCATGCCGGACAAAGATTCCTCTATAGATACAGTGGAGGAGAGAGTGTAGCCACTCTAGGACAGGAAGTGTGGTACTGGCCGGTAAAACAAAAACCCCTGAAAAATAAAATGAATGCAGCCACCACTTCGAAGGGCGGGTAAGCTGTGAGCAGGCACCTCGGTTTCGGGTGGACAGGGATTGGTTAGTCACTCTCTGGCGTCTCATATTTTCCTCGGGATACCAGTGACGGGATCTCTTTCCCGGATCCTTCAGCTAAACTCCTGACTGACAGGGAAGATAGTTACCTCCTCAGTCTTGCCTTTGCTGCCTCCGCAGTCTCAATTTCTATCTCTACCGGCTTGGTGGAAGGTTCCGGGTCAGCGGACGTCGAGGCATGCAATGACTCCAGTGTCGGCTCGTTTAGCTCTAAACACACAAAAGAGGATCAAATAATAGTTACATATCATAAACATGTTGTACAGAACCATAAGAGATAAAAAGCTGTAAGCTTTCAACTGGACATCAGAATTGTTGCATGAAGAACACAGGTGATTGGTATTTAATTGCCGGATTTAAAATTTGCAGCGATACCTTCCACCTCCTGCCATTCCTCATCACTGTCCTCCGTGCTGCTGTCTTCAATGACTGTCACATCCGGGACCGAGACTTTTCCTTCCAAACTCAGCAGGTCTCTGCACAACACAATGCAGAAAACACAAGACATTAAGGGGTTGATTGATGGCACTTTGCACAGAGAATAATGCGAAAAAGACTCACAGCGTATTATGGCCACTAGATGGAGCCGCTGAGTATAGGGATTTCCTATGCGCCCCAGCTCCCTCTAGTGGCCATAATGTGCGGCAAATCATGTTCGCAGATCGGTTCTGTCATTAAAGGAGAACTATGAAGTGAGTGCTTTTCACTCGCCTCATAGATCTTGCCGACCTGTGACAATGAGACTGTCACAGGTCGGCTCAGTAGATCGGGAGGTGAGCAAACACATACCGGCGTTCGCTCACCTCTCGATCCTGCCACGGCTCTCTGCCGTGACAGGGGAGGGGCTGGATTCCCGCCTCCAATCCGCCAACGCTGACTGGCGGAACGGACGGGGGAGGGAGCGGGTACAGCTGGCTCTGCCTCTAGATAGGCAGAGCCAGCTGTCAGTCACGCAGCTGGGCGGATCCCGGCACAATTGTCGGGATTCGATTTAGCTGCGGCGTCTCAGTATACCATGAGCAGCAGCTCGCGGTATACTGAGCCTAGGGTGACGGAAAGACGCTAGTTTGTGTCCTCCCGTTACCCTAAGGAGAACTATGGGGAAAAGCCTTAACCCCATAGTTCTCCTTTAATCAAAAACCCCAAAATATTCAGATAAAAATAATGAAATAACTCTGAAGAAGCAGCTTAATTCTTTATTCAAAACAAAAAGATCTCGGCTGGAGTTACTCTTAAAATTACCAAATAGATTGTGTAGCAATTAAAGGTTGTATCTGTTTTTATAGTAAAATAAAGTTACCTTTCACAGGGATTGTGCAGTACATATTGCTCAGATAAAAAGGTACAAAGTATCACATTTCTGACAACAGGACTTTCAAAACATTTCCTGCAAAGTGTCGCCGATCTCCATTATACGGCTGAAATCTAACTTTAACTCCATTTTAAAACAGGGGCTGGTCTCAGCGGCTCCTCTGTACCCCCAGTCAGTACAAGAGCTGGGAACACTGTCTCTCTCCTCTCTCACAGCCGGGGCCCAGGAGCAGAAACAATCGACTCCAGTCGCTTTCAGGAGCGGATGTTGTAGTGCAGGCCACAATATGGGGGGGGTCTACCTTCCCCTAGTGCTCTTCTCTTTCTAATCTACACCTCTACCCTCCAATCTACACCTCTACCCTCCAATCTACACCTCTACCAACCCAATATACACCTCTACCCTCTTTTGGTTTTCTGATTTTTCTTCTTCGCTTGGGATCTCCGCTTTTGGTTTTTATTTTAGCTTTTTTCTTCCCCGCCTCTGGTTGCTTTGTCCGGGTTTCATGCTCGCTACTACTTTGATGAAGTGAGTTTCCTTTCTTCTTACCTGAGTCTTCTTATTTCTTTAGTTTTTGTTTTAGCGGTCATTATTACATAGTATTTGAGGTTGAATAAAGACATTAGTCCATCAAGTCCAACCTATTAGGATCTCATTCTAGGAGTACCTGTACCCCTGTATATTACCTGTACCCCTGTATATTACGGTCCCTTAAGAAATCGTCCAAAAGTTTCTTGAACAATTCCACATTATTTGCTGAAATCACCGCCTGTGGCAGTGAGTTCCAGACCCTAACTGATCTTACTGTGAAGAACCCCCTTCACCCCTTGTGCTGGAATTTTTTTTCCACCAATTTTAGGTGGTGGCCTCTAGTTTTTGTAACAGAGTTAACCTATCGACTTCTCTCTCTTCCCCTATATTTGGAGGTTTATAGCAAATACCCACGAGAAGTTTACGGCTAGCGTCCGTCATATCTAGCTCCAGCCATAGAGTTTCCACGTCTTCTTATTGGTATCGTTCTATTAAGTTAAGAGGAGAACTATGAGGTGAGCGATTTCCACTCATCCTCATAGTTTGAGCCGACGTGTGACATTGAAACTGTCACACGCCGGCTCTATAGGTCGGGAAGTGAACGAATGCATACCGTCACTCGCTCACTTCCCGATCATCTCTTGTCAGTCACCGCTGCCTACAGGGATTCCCCCCTTCCCTCTCCGATCCTTCAGCGCTGACTGGAGGAACGGACACAAGGCAGGCACAGCTGGCTTTGCCTCTGGATATAGGCAAAGCCCATTGTCACTCACGCAGCTGGGTGGATCTCGACAGTATTGTCGGGATCCGTCCTGGCTGCGGTGCTCTCTATATACTGAGCTTTGGGTCACGGGAGGAGGTTAGTACCGTGTTTCCCCGAAACTAAGACCTAGCGCTATCTTCAGGGATTTCTGTAATACAAGAACTACCCCGAAAATAAGACCTAGTTCGGGGTAGGTTTTATCTTACAGAAATCCCTGAAGATAGCGCTAGATCTTACTTCAGGGTTAGCTGCACATGTAATTGATTTTTACATGTTAAGAGCGGCCGCAGCTCCCTCACTACCCCGCCCCCCCACCCCCGTATCGGAGCGGAGAGCTCGACAGCTGCAGCCAGGTAACACATCCCCCGAAAAAAAGACCTAGTGTCTTTTTTCATGAAAAAAAAAAAATAAGAGTCTTATTTTTTGGGAAACACTGTATATGTCCTCCCGTGACCCTGAAGAGAACTATGGAGAAAAAGGTTACCCCATAGTTCTCTTTTAAATGTTCTCCCCCCCCCTCATACAGTGGGGATCCAGTCGTAAGAGTTGCTACATGCTTTGGACGGGTAGTTTTGAAACAATACTTTCTTGACTATGTCTGATACGTCTATCTTTTTCTACAAACGACTTACTGATTGAATGGTACATTTACCACTGGTTGTGTTTCTTGTTACTCTGCTGTGTGAGGACTTAAATAAAGAATTTAAACCATAAAAGTGTAAACATTTGTAAGACTAGAAAAAAGTTTTTTAAAAAAAGGATTGTTTACATATCTGGATAGATACAAGATAGACAGATACTGCAGATAGATAGAAAAATGGGACTTAAGGGGTTAATGTAGAGGATATGAATGATATTATCTCTACATTTCATACACTCACTTGATCTCTTTCTCCGTGTCTTCCTCTTTCATCGCTGCGTCTGCAGTTTTCTTGGTTTTCCTCGCCGTCCTCTTCTCCGCACTCGCCCCGCCTGTCTTCCCACCGCCTCTAACAGACTTTCTTGAGGCTTTGCCACCTGGCGCCGGGCTTCTGCTTTTCTTCTCCGGCGCCTTCCCGTCATCGGAGACAGTCGCCTTCTCATCTGAGCAGAAACCAGATGAAATCACTCACACAGAACCACACCTGAGAGCAGGCACAGGCGACCAACAAAGCTCAGCCAGTGCTGCAGGGAGGGGGCAGGGTGCATGAATTAGGGTGGGCTTATTTAAAGAGGAGCTGTTCCCGCCAGGTCCCCGGGGTTCCCCGCCGCCTCTCTTTGCCGTCCTGTCTCTCCCCCTCCGTTTTCACATGCTTCTGTTGTATAACAAACCTTCGCCGGAAGTCACGTGTCCCGCGGCCTGCCGCCGATTGGCCAAGCCCCCCCCCTCCTTTCACGGATATCTCGCGGGAGCGCGGTTACCTTGGAGACCGCCCGGCCTCTTCCGCTGCGCGTCACCGGCAACATGGCGGACGATGGAGAGCAGGTGAGAGAGCGGTGGCGGGCTGGGTTATGAGTGCAGCGAGGGCGCTTAGCGCAGATTTCCGGCTCGTCTGTGGCCTACTCCGTGAAGAGGCACTGTCTTCAGTCGGCTTTTCAGTAGAGGATGTGGGCCCTGTAAATAATGGTCACACCCCCCCCCCATGTGTGGCTGCTGAGCCTGAGAGTCCCTTGTCAGCCTCCTTGCAATAATTCTTATATCTAACTCGGGGGTTGGCAACCAGCTGTGGTGGAACTACAAGTCCCATGAGCCATTGCGTGACATAATGGGACTTGTAGTTTCACCACAGCTGCAGTGCCCAGGTTTCCTTAAAAGAGAAGTTTGAGGTGAGTGCTTTTCACTCACCTTTTATAGTTCTAGCCGACCTGTGACAATGAGACTGTCACAGGTCAGCTCAGTAGATCGGGAGGTGAGCGAACACATACCGGCGTTCGCTCACCTCTCGATCCCGTCACGGCTCTCTGCCGTGACAGGGGAGGGGCTGGATTCCCCCCTCCGATCCGCCAGTGCCGACTGGCGGAATGGATGGGGGAGGGGGCGGGTACAGCTGGCTCTGCCTCTAGATAGGCAGAGCCAGCTGTCAGTCACGCAGCTGGGCGGATCCAGACATAATTGTCGGGATCCGCTTCAGCTGCGGCCTCTCAGTATACCGCGAGCTACAGCTCCCTATATACTGATCTTAGGGTGACGGGAGGACGCTAGTTTGTGTCCTCCCGTTACCCCAAGGAGAACTATGGGGAAAAGCCTTAACCCCATAGTTCTCCTTTTAACACTGATCTAACACCTTCTGTCTCTGAACTGCAGCAGACCACAAACACGGTGGAGGAGCCCCTGGACCTGATCCGGCTGAGCTTGGACGAGCGGATCTATGTGAAGATGAGGAACGACCGGGAACTCCGGGGGCGGCTACATGTGAGTGTCCCCTGTTATCTCTATACAGTGTAGTGTATGATCTTTATTAACAGCTCCTTCTCTGCGCAGGCATATGATCAGCACTTGAATATGATCCTGGGGGATGTGGAGGAGACGGTGACCACCATCGAAATCGATGAAGAGACCTACGAGGAGATTTATAAGGTATGTACGGGTCACATGACACTCGGGTTTGTAAAAAATGTTCTAAATGATCTCCCTTTCAGCTTTGCCCACTTTAAGGTGTTCTGTTCTTTAAGTGGCCAACACAGGGGGGTATAACAAAGCGCTCTAAAACTCAAAGTTAAAAAAAAAAAACGTTTTTGCTTTGAATCCTGTCGGGTGCAACACTCATTTAAAATGTAAACTTAATTCTTCATTATGATGTGGTTTGAAACTTAACAAAAAAAAAAAAATGTTCTAAATGGATGAAGGACCCTTGTTTACCCACCTGCGGACCGGCCCGTGCACATTGACGTCCCTATTGTCCTGGAAGGACGTACCTGTACGTCCTCCCATGCCCGCCTGTGTGCACGGAGCCACAGAAGTTGCCCGCTGTCATTTTGAGCGCATCGGTGGCTTCAGGTGCAGAGCCGATCGGGCCAGCTGTGTGCCTTGTGATTGGTTATCACAGTTACAACGATGAGGTCGTCACCAGCACACCAAGGTCCATTGTTCCAATGCGTCTTTATGTGACGTCAGGTAAACATGGCATCACATGTAACAGCAACGTTTCAGAACCTACAGCCGTCCCTTCATCAGGCAAACGTAGTTACCAGGGACCACATTAGGCGCTATGGTTGCCTGATGACTGCTGTAAGTTCGGAAACGTTGCTGTTACATGTGATGCCATGTACACCTGATGTCAGATAAAGACGCATTGGATCTTGGTGTGCAGGTGACTACCTTGTCATTGTCTGGATTCATGCCGCGCCATCCGCAAGTCAATTTCAGCACCTTATCTGACTGTTGGGATTCCAGTCTGGGGTGCAATGGGACACCTGTGTGATTGTGGTGATCACATGGCAATGTTTACATTGCAGGAGTAGACATAATTGTCGGAATCCGCTTCAGCTGCGGCGTCTCAGTATACCGCGAGCTGTAGCTGTATACTGAGCTTAGGGTGACGGGAGGACACTAGTTTGTGTCCTCCCGTTACCCTAAGGAGAACTATGGGGAAAAGCCTGAACCCCATAGTTCTCCTTTTTAAGGAAGTAATGAATGAACTAGTCATCCATTCATTACTCTCTAGTGAAACAAACTGCAGCAGCAGAAAAAAAAGATAGTTTCAGATCATTTACTCCTCTCACCCCCTTCCGTTTATATCAATTCTGTCTCTACTCTGAGTACATCTTAATGTACATCTGTTCATTAACCCCTTCATCTCCACCCTGTGACCTGTACATTATGTACTGTCCTGACAGATCACCTTGGGGTGCCTATTTCCAAAAAGGGGTCCCGGGGGGGGGTTTGCACGGTGCTGAGATTTGGTGAGAGTTGCATGACGTGCTAATTCTCATTCAAACTTTCACAGTGCTGAAAAATGTCCGGGTGATGATGATGGGGGTTGTTACCATGCCGATACTGAAGTTGTTAATGAGTCTCCTTCTGTCTTCTAGTCCACGAAGAGAAACATCCCCATGCTTTTTGTCCGAGGTGACGGCGTCGTGCTCGTAGCTCCTCCTCTAAGAGTTGGATGATGGGTTTCGGAAGAAGAGTCCATAACATGCCGAAGTCTCATGAACCCGCCCCTCTGTCCCTTCTCATCCAATCCCAGACACATGGGGATTTTGTTCTTGCTTTAGATCAACTGAGCTCCTAACCCATATGTCTCTTCCTGATAGTAAACTACAAGTCCCAGCATTCCTTCCCAACTAGGGATGAACTGAGCTGGCCTTGTTGTTTCCTATCAGCTGTGGGCTGTCCATGGGTGGACCTAGCTCCTCGTGT